GGGGCTACGTAGAGGAAAAAGAATTGTGTGTTTTTGGAAGAGGGGGCTGGTAAAATGTGTCAGTGTATAAGAGAAGGCTGGAGGGGTTGACGGGTTGGTGGGGGGTGAGGGGTAGAATTGAAAACCCTCAGAGAGTTATGAAAACCATACGGCACCATTCTGTTCCCCCATCTTGCCTATGGCTTTAGACACACACACACACACACACACGCACACACACACATGCACTCTCTCTAACACACACAGCCTTCAAGAAGTGCATGCTGCACAGCATCCACAGGAGTGGAAAGTGTTTGTCAGCTCTGTGAGATGCAGAGATTGTCTCCCTCTTCTTCTTCTCCTCCTCTGCTTTTTGTCTTCCAGCTTGTATGTTTCTCCTGATCTGTCTCAGCTTCTCATTGCTTTTTTTATGTCACTTTATTTTATTTCTTTTAATCTCCTTCTTTCTTAATCTCTGTCTTTACCATCACTCATTGCTATATTTTTTTCTTTTTCTGCCACCTCCCCCCCTTCTCTGTTTTCTACCAAGTCCATACCAGCTGGAAGTTTTTACAGTCCAATGGAAACATTTGAGTATGGAAGAGAAATACCTGTTGGACTATGCATGTGTGTGTGTGTGTGTGTGTGTGTGTGAGAGAGAGTTCATTCTTATGCTGTTATTAACTTTGTATGGGCACAGATGTCTAAGTGTATGCGTAAGTGCTCTTCTATGTGTGGCTACCACTCGGGGGCATATGGAGGAGAGGAAACAGGAAATGCCAGATGTGCATCAGCCTGACCTCTCGGTAGCTTGGGGAGCGGGAGTGTAGACTGGGGGTACCTCCGCTGCCGTCACATGATCCGTCCGCCATGAATGGTACGTGTGGTGCAATGTCAAAAGGCTGAGTTTGGATTTTTCCAAAGCAAATTTTGATTTGTTTATTTTCCCTTGTAGCTGTACCACAAACAAAGCCGAAGAATATTGAATAAAGACAAAAGCAAGCGATTCTGAGGGGGGATTGTTACAAATTTAAAGATGCCTTGGACATACAACTGGGCGTGAGACTGTAAATTAAGGTCTACCACACGCAAACAAACTAAATGGCTGAACAATCTAAGCAATATAAGTGGAAAACTGCTTGAGCAAACAATAGCCCTTGACATAAATGCTAAAAATAAAGTAAATAAAGTTTTTCTCTGTGGAAAGTGTGACCTGCCACAACACAATTTAGGCAGCTTGATGTCATTATCTGGAGCTTCTCAACGCAGGGTGATGAGATGGAAAAGTCATGCTGTATGTGCAGCTGAATGCAGTTATTAGCCACATCAATGTGTGATGGAGTCTGCGTTCTCTCTAGGTACAGCAGATGAGTCGGCCGCTGTGAGGCGTGTTGGTTTTGGCAGGCAGAATATATACAGTCTAACTATTCAGCAGTCTTTTCCAGTTATGTAACAACTATCGGAACTAGAGGGAGCACAAACATCAAACCTCAGGATCCCGGAGAACCTAAAGAGCCTTTTGGTCTTGTTCCCCACCCCCTTCTCCTTCTCCACATCCCTCATCCTCCTCCTGTCGTCCTCTGATTTTTCTTTTTCTTGGACTACCCCCATCCTCCTCTCTCCCTTTTCCTTATTATTCTTTCACCTCCCCCCTTGTCCCTCTACTCCCTTCTTGCATGAGAAGAAGGGATGATCCCTTTCCTTATCTTGTCCTTGCTACTCCTCTCCCACTCTTCTCTTTCAGTCTTCTTATTTGCGCTCCAAAGTCAGCAATGTCTCCCCCAGAACCCCAGCTTTTTTACCCCAAACCTCCCACTCTTGTTCTGTTTATTCTATCATTGGGCCTAGTTAACTCCTCCCCCTGCACAGACAACCACGCCCCTAGAGACACATACCAGAAATGTAATTGATAGAACAGACAAAACTTCTCATTTCCATAGTCCTGCACTTCTAATTCCCCTCTTTCACATTAATGTACTTACAGTACCTCCAAGCTGCTCTATCTCCCAACCCAAAGATCCTCTAATGGAACATACAGATCTCTTGATTTTATATTCCCCGCCTCCTAGGTCACAGCCTGCTTTCTACCTCCTTGACTCCTAGCCACTTGCCACATATCATTACTGGCTCTGATACAGTCTCAACTTTTAGCTTCCAAGCAGCTGAACTGTACCTTCCAGCTCCAAAGCCTCTCCATTTCACTTCAACCACTAATTCTATTTTTTAGCAGCTGAATAGCTGTTCTTGATTTGATGTTCTTTGGTGGCCACTAAACAGTTGTATCTGGATTGATAATGCAATTACAGCACTTTTCCTTCAATGAAAGAACATGTGACATAAATTTAACAAGACTGGGTTATGCATAAAAAAGCAAAAAAGCAAAGAAAGCAAAAATGGTTGCAAATGGCACCACATAAAGGCAGGGTGAGAAGGTGGCTGTCATAGAAAGGGGGTGTGGGATGCAATAACCATTTGAATGTATGGACAGTCTCTCCTGGAAGATATTCAAGTGACAGATATGGTTGTGTAGAGAGTTTAAACCATTCCTACTTTCCCACCTCTGCACACCTGGCAAATCATTGCATGATGTGGGTGTGAATGTTGGATTGTCAGAAAAGTTACAGAAACAAAACACCGCCACAGATTTAAAGTGTCTGTAGCCATTCTAGTGGCTGTACTTGGGAGTAATGCTTTAAACTAAACATCAGCATGCTCACATATTCACACTGACAATGCTAACATGCTGATGTTAAACAAGTAAAATGTTGAACATGTTCACCATCTTTAACTTGTTAACATGCAAACATTTGCTAATTAGCACTAAACAAAATTAAAAGTTTGTCTGCGGCTGATGGCACTATCTTTAATTTTGCAGGTAGAATTTTGACACTCCATCCAATCGTAGTTGAAGCATTTCACTTAAAATGACACAAATGTCAGGGGTGTTACAGGAAAATCTGGGGATCACCACAGTCAGTAGGATTCATCCTCTGTGGACATTGAATGTCTGTACGAAATTTGTGCCATCGAGTAGAGGTTGATATATTTAAATGGATAAGTTTTACCTGTCAGTGGCACAAAATGATTGATCACCAAAGTCATTTCTTTCACTCTGTTTTTATGAGCTACTGAACTAGTGGCTGTGCAGGACTAGCAGTCTGTAAAGTAATTAATGTTTCAATTGTCACACATTTCTCTGCTTCTGCTTTGATAATTAAAAATGTTTTTCTTGACTTTTGGCTAAATAAAGGCCACCACGGATGTCAAGGAAACTACATTGTTATTTCCTTGTTGTCTTGACTCATTCGGGCTTATTGATGCATTTGTGCCATATCAAATACAGCAGGACACGTCAGTTGTTCATTTTTCCCAACCGCCGGTGTCTTATGTCACACACACACACGAACACACACACACGCACACTGAAGCAATTAGCTGCGGCCTTGTGGTTAAATAATGGAGTGTAGGCATTCCTGGTGATTTCTGGGGAGTGGAGGAAAAAGACGATACTTTTATCCACTTCTTCTACAAGGTCCATATGTTTCATCTTTCATAGCAGACATGAATGCCCTCCTTCCACACCCAGACTGTCAACAAATCTTTACCACAAATATCTGAGCAGACTGGGGTCGCTGTCGAATTGTTGAGTCCAGAAGGAATAATCCCTTGCCAGTTGAAGTCTCGAGTTACTTGAACCATCAACTAAAAGAGTTCGGACACTTTTTAGAGGTGGTTTGTAAGCTGGTTGGTAACTGCATCGCTGCTTTGTCTAAGTAGTTTCTTTACGCCCGGTGACCTTTATTAACCTTTATTTAACCTTGGAATAGCTTACTGAGCTCGCTTTTCAGCCATGTCCTCATTCCTTCATGCTCACTTTCACTCATGTTAACACCTGGGAGATGCCCAGTACAAACACAGTCTCCTACTGTTATCCACTGATTAGCTGCAGTTGAACAATTTAAGATTTTTAGATTGTGACCTGGCAACCAACTGGGCACGGGGAGCGTTTGGAAAATCTAATTTGTATCTGCATTTACTAGCTGAAAAACAAGATGTAAGTCATTATCATTTTGTAAGTATTCTTGTACTGCATTCTTTAAACTGACTAAATGAATACCACTGTGTGAACAGCTGCTACCGAATTTCCAGTTAGTCATATGGCAAGTTTAAAACAAACATGGCTGCTGATGGAAACTGCAGTGCCCGAGCCTCCTTCTTCTTGTCCAAAAACATTTTTTAGCTTTTGGAGAAAAGAAAAAGCAACATGAGGCTCGACAGATTGTCTGGTCTGCAGTTGGAGTTTGCTGCACATAAAGAATCACACATGTATAAACAAACCTCAGACCAAACATCTAGAAAATCACCAGAAAACTTTTAAGGTTTTAAAAAAAAACTGCTGAGAGGCAGAAAAGAGAGATGGAGAGTGCACTGAGAGGATAATTCCTGACAGATTATTCCTTTACCAGATGATACGCTCAGTTTTTCCATGCACATGCACACAGACATCTTACACTTCTTTGTAGTGTCTTTCATGATGCAGTCATATTCCTCCAGGGAAGGAGACATTTGTGTGTGCCTTAGTGTGTCTAATGGTAAATGCATTAACAGTGTGAAAGAAAAGGATGGGACACAAAGGCTCAGCAGAGCAACAGAGACAGACAGGCGTCTGATGTGTAGGACCTTTGAGATAACCCACCACACGTCTGACCTCTCTCTGCAACATTACCTCCTATATTCTCTCAGGCGCTCTCCTACTGAAACTTCACATTTTGTACATCCGACATTGCTCTTGTGACCTGACCTCAGTGTTCGCTGTGTGCCTCTCAAAAAAAAAATGCACAGGAACAGCAAACTTCCTGACTC